GCAGCCATGTAACAGGATTCCATATACCTAATTGAATCACCAAAAACCCTTACATTACTGCTCATATGGAGCTTGTGTTGTTTCATTTCCTGAAGGTAAGTGGAACAGCCAGGCTGAACCAACAACGGGAGCACTCGTGTAAGATTCCTTTACTACTCCCGTTGTCAGAGGCTACATTTAATTTGTTTTTACTTTTGTTAAGGCAGTATTGGTCGAAATTTTGGCGCCTTAGCGTGTAAATTTCCGATGACACTGGACATATTCTCCAGCGCTTCGTTCACCGTTCGGATGACGATCAGCTATTGGCGCTGTAGCTACTGCAGACCCATCCACTCCTATCATGCCGTCCAAAGAGCATCTTCGACCTCGAAGATCGGAAATGGAGGTTTTCTTGAACTTTTCTTTGGAAAAAGGCGCTTATCTGTCGAGTGGATGACTTTTTAGGGCATGCAACTTAGTCAACTGTCCGCCAACAACAAGGCTTCAGGCCTCCGTTAATTACATTGAGTGGTACACGTCAAGAAGGATGTCTTTGCGCGTTGGACATGGGTTCGGTATCCCAAAAACTCAGATCATCTGTGAAAACTTGTTGACTGCGTTCGTGTCTTCCCCCATCAATCATCGAGCGCGCACTCAGTAAAGATACCACCCGGATCTTCTGTTCCCTTTCCCTTCTGGGTCTCCCCTACGAAGGCGAATTAATCAGACCCTAAGTATTCTACAATGTCATATCCTTACTGGAAGTTGGTGTATGAAGCTAACAAGGTTCAATGACCTATGAAACCGATCGTTTAGTACCTGTGAGCAATCGTTGGTTCCAAGATTTTTTTCCAAGATTTGTCCAATCTGCGTCTTTTCTCTTCTTTATGCACCTCATTGTTCCGCTGCATGCACGATGCTGAAAGGTGAAGCACCGTGTACAGCTGTGCCAGGCTCCAGTATAAACGAACGAATGGGCTCTTGTGAGTTTGGGGGTGATCTTTTAGGGCCTCCGTAGGAAATCTCCGAATCATCATTACCTCCTTCAGGTTATGGTAAAAGTGTTCAGCACGTTCATCCAACGTATTTCCAAGCTACCACTAGCAATATCGACGCGCGGCCTGGCTCATGTTCGTCAAATGTTGAATGACCTGGTTCTTAAGTTGTATACATAGCACGCACTGCGCTTTTTGTCACCGGAGCAAGTTTGGAGTTACCAATCTAACATAACCAGTCTTTCGGGCAACGTTTCCTCGGATGTCTGCTTTTTACATTTCTTGTTTCATGCATTGGCAGAAACATAATCTTTTATGAAAAGTTCAAGGCGCAGGTTTTGCTCGACCACGAAACACTGGTGTAACCCCAGGCCCTAGTTGAACCGGAATACCGCTGATTGGACATCCCTCTGGAGTACCATTCTGGGGTAAATACAAGACCCGTCGAGTTTTTCATTTAAAAGGGAACCGCACTCAAGTCTTATTCCACCAAACCCCCCCCAGTCCTCTTTGGTCTTTACACCAGACTTTCTGATCCCACATCTGAAATATTAGACTCCTTCACCCTTGGCAAGTTCAGGTTTTCCACCGCTAAATCCTTGTACTCATAAAATCGCTGTAGAACCATGCCTTTCCCCGCTTCTTGGAAAATTCCTCACATTGTCGGAGGAAAATTCCTGGTTATCACATTCTCGAACAAAGATCTATCCTTGAGTCTCGACACATGTCTTGGAAGTGTCCGTGGAAAATTCCAATGGGGCGGCCGTGATGCTATGTCGAATGCAAGGGGCGCATCTCTCAGCGGTTCCGACCTTACTGCCCAGCTGCAGCACAACGGTCGAGCAGTTGAAGCTCACATCGATCTTAGCGAAAGAATCAAGGTCGTATCCGGGAGATTGGTTTATGTTCCTCCTTCTGCCAATAGTGATGTGACCTCGCCACCTTCTACGACGCCTGCGACAGGAAATGAAAGTACTGCCTCCCGTCCTGGATCGTGAGTCTATTTCAACTCCTCATTGTTTACATGATCTGAATTCATGCTCATCTTTCATTACTTATCAGTCCCGGTTCGCCACCTCCCTCATATGAAGATAGTTTTGCGGAACAGTTCAGCGAATTCAAGTCAAGCCACAAATCGTGAGTCAAGATAAAGCAAGTCTGGGACCTGGGTTCGCACTAACTGACAACCTTTAAATCTGTACTAGGAGCTACTCCGCGCGATCATCTTGCTACTTCAAGTTCAGCTTGCGCGACAAACCGTTACGGTTGGTCGGCTCTATCCTCCACGCTGAATGTCGTCGTGCGGGTCAGAGGGAGTATGTCCATTCCGAACTGGATCTCAACTCCTACATTGGTGTCATCGACGGCCAACTTGTCTGGGGACGAGAAGGGTTTTTCTCAATCAGCCAAAACGTCAGGCTTGAGGAATTCATCCTTCACGCAGAGTGTAAGAACGAATCGGGGACTACATCCCACTCATCCTTGGACCTCAGTCGATACCTCCAAACATACGACGGAGTCCTAGGCGTCAAAGTCGCCACCGACACCACCGAAATTTCTACATTGTTCAGCGAAGCAAGCTGGATGAAGTTCAAGGTGGTTACCGAGCCTGATCCTATCGGGGTTCTTGGCACTCTCGGGGACCAAGCAGCATTTAAAACCGCATTCAGTTCCCTCGCTACGACCACGACCGAGCATGTCGTCGCCGAGATGACGCAGGAGCTCTCGGTTGCGGCAGCTCAATATGTTAAGAGTGCGGTCACAGATACCGTCAAGGCGAAGATGACCGAGATAGTGACGAACGCGGTGTCTGCACGGGTTCGGGAGGAGATCACAAAGAAGGTAGACGAGGCGTTTGCAGTCGCTCGGGAGTCTGTGCTCAAGGCTTGCTATGACATGGCAGACGAAGCCGCGAACGATGTGACTATCCAATATACCCAGTCCGTCGTGGGCCCAATGGAAGACAAGATCACTGAAAGCTGCAATAAGCTCGTCGAGTATGCTTTGAGGGAGGTCTGCGAGTCTGCTATTGGGCAGTTCCAAGAGCGGGCGGAGATTTTGATGGAGCGCGAGATTGTGGGGGCTGGTATCCGCCGCGCGGAAACCCAGGCGAAACTTCTCAAGATTTTGGCAGCGACTTTTTAAAGTGTCATGAGCAGTGGTTCAAGTGCTTCGGAATTCCTTACTTTTCATCTTTTTTTGATACCTATTGTGCGATGTTTTTGAATGCTCTACTTACGCTAATGGTCGTACCATATTCAATGTCATGTTCAGAGAACAGTAGCAGTCGCGCAAATTGAGTCTTCAACAAAGTTTTGTAAATAAAATCCTCAAGGAGTATAGCAGATGAGTTGGCGCCGGACTGATAAGCGCCCACATGCCTCTGTTACCATCTTCCTTCACGAGTCTGTATCGATTATTTCTCCGGACAAGCTCTGCATCTGTTTTACATCAGAGTCTAGCCGTGCGAAATATCCGTGCTCTTTGGCGACCAATATTCTCAGATGCCGCTCATGTTATCGAAAAACTGCAAGCAAAACCCTGTGAACGAGAACAAGAGTTACTAAGGAATTGGCTAAGGAATTGGGAGACACAAAGTCTGTACTTGCATCTAACTCTGGACGGTACGATTGATGAAGATGAGTAATCGCAGTGGACCGTACACTATCTCTTCTATACGCCTCCGCTACCTCGCGGGGTCTTCCTCACAAACTTACTCGGAATCTATCACAACTATACTACGCAGAGTATGACCGAATGACCAGTCGAAGATACCCAGTGTGGAATGCTCAGCTGCCTAAAAATTCTCGAGAATACCAGATTCCAGTTCCTGATACGACCCAGAAGGCTCTGAATAAAGAAGAGAAAGCGCGTCAGGCGCAGTATTTGGAGGATCGTGCTTGGAACGCTCTGAGTTTTGCGGTGAAGATGGCAGAGGGTCGTGATAAGTTATCTTTAGGCAGAGTAGTTGTAAAAGGGAAATTGTGGCAGACATGACCGCTACTCTACTGGATGAACAATCTTTTGTTTCTGACGCATTTTCAACGAGGACAAATACTATACCTGTACTTTTTGCAAAGATTATGAATCCGAAATACGGTCGTCAACCACAGGCTTCGGTGCCCTGGCATCCCTCGCCTTCTTTCTCATGAACGCTTCCCAAAGTACCTTCTTCTTTTCCTGCTTCTCAGCCTTTCTGACCTGCGCCATGACATCCACATCGTGCTTGACCTTTTCATCTCTCGTCCTCTGTCTGCGTCTATTAAGATGATCCCAGTCAGCTCCGCGCCCGACCTCTGTTCCAAACACGTCGGAGGGAGTAGGCTTATTGTCAATTGTCTTCGTAACCTTTGCCTTTTGTGTAGGCATCCATAGATGAACGGTATGCGAAATAGTTGTGGGAGAAGAGGGTAAAGCAGTTGATGAGCTAGCAACATCTGGCTTGCTGTTTCCATTTCCCTTCGCTTTGGTTTTCGTTTTCGTTTTCGCGCTCCCAAAATTCACCTTGACTTCAGGAGCGGCATGAAACCGTGTTCCAGTAGTCATTCGAATCTCTTTCAGACCCTCGAGTATAGGCAATATCTGGCTTTTCAAGAACCTACATGACAAAATAAATCCCAACGAATTGAATGAACAAGGTTATATAAAAAGCGCACCTCATCGACCGAATAGGATGCTCCATATGCGGCGGATTCGGCGGGGGAGTCTTCCTCTGACCAGACTTTGTATACCGAATTTCCGTATCGCTGTTCTCATGTACTTGGTACTTTTCGAAATTCGGTGGAGGCGCCTCTTTCAATGCGAGTCTATACATCTCTGCTGTCGTCAGCCCTGCTTTCCGGAATTGCTCGGTGGCAAGGAGGGTTCGAACTATCGAAAGACCATGGGAGATCAACGATGGTTTCGGCTGGCCGCGAAGTATCACGGACGACATCCCGGTAAGGAGGAGAAGAGCAGATGAGCGCTAACTTGACTTCTTAAAGGAAATAACATTAATGCGATTTTTGGCCATTAAAAAAATTACAAGGGGCGCACCCGGGATTGAACCGGGGACCTCCTGCACAAGAGTTTCAGAACCCAAAGCAGGAATCATACCTCTAGACCATACGCCCGACGTTGAAATCGAAGATTTTAACAGATGCTATTAGAGGCAAATCAAACCTTCAAATTTTACCTATGACTCGGAAGTCACCATTTCATGCTTTAAGCTCCAAAGTTTTCTTCTTTCCTTCAAATTAATGAACTTCAGAAAGAAAGTTAACTTCAATAAAAATGCACACAGACTAAACAATGTATATTACTCTCTACCTATCCGATATGGCAACAGGGCGTTGTAGGCAAGAGCGTTGAGCTTAGTATGAATTCTTGGATTCTTCAGCTTCTGTACAATTTATGACTGAATATTCGACACTGCAGGGATTAAGATTTATGTGTCACAAGAAGGCTAATGTTATGTGGAGTTCATGTACAAAATTCTCCCAATAATCAAGTGTTCAATGTTTTCAAAAACCCCTACAATTACTAAAAGGAGAATATTAGGTGGTCTATATATTCACTACTCAATCATTCATGAAAAACACAGCATAAAGCCCTCAATGAAGCCAGGAGTAGAATGCACCAAGCCAGAAAGATGCATCTGCTATTACCCTCCTTTGTTCTTTTCATGTTTTCAAGGATGCTAGAATTTTGATGGAACTCCTTTACCTTGATCAATACTTACATCGATCCTTGCCAAACAATACGACCGCCATCGATGTTCAGGTGGCTGTCAAATGGATAAAAATGAATACAGCACCATGTCAGCATGAGATGGGTAGTCAAGATTTGATTTACCTTACTTACTTCAGAAGTTACCCATAAGGTCTTCACTGAGTCCGGCTGCCAGCTGTTCCGTGAGCAGCTAATTTCCGAAAACTATGCTCTTTGGCAATATTGTCCGTGTCAGTCGTTGTAAGTACCAGCTTCGATGGCGGTTCCTTCGAGGCCAGGGCTCGCCGCGATACCCCATACGTCATGGACAAAATCAAGTATCGGCATCATGAGACTCACCTCACGAGAAGATTTACAGAAGAGAAATTCTGGTCTCAACTTCGACAGGGTGATAACATGGATGGAGATAACGCAAAGCCAGAATTTACATCATCTCAAAGTGAAGTGACTAAGTATCGAGAATCGTTGGTGAGCATCACAGCTTCCCATATACCGGTCGCTATATGCGGCTGAAAAAAATGGAATTGTGGATTAAGGCCGCCCATATTTACATTTTACTTGAACAGTAAAGTTAGACGTCTTCGAATTCAGACTCAGAGCTAGCACTGACTGGTCACTCACACCACGAGCATGATGGGCACCTCCCCAGTACCTCGTTGGTTCCAAAGAAGGGTTTACTAATTTAATCCATTACCACGAGGCTTATATATGTGGCAAACTTCCTGTCCAAGTCAATGTCGTCAATGCATAATAGATGCTGTATAGGACATACAGACATACACAGCTGTAGTTCAAGAGTCCTACACCAAAAAGTGACGCCGACAATGTGATTAGCGCCGTGCACTGGTGAACCGACGGGGAGTGCCCTTCAAATTGCCCGCGGTGCCAATATAAGTTATATGCTGATAGCCTGATCGTCAGTAGCTGAGATGGCGAGGGCAGAAGGAACCAGATCAGGCAATAGAATCACACCTCCCATTTAGGGACTATCCTGGCCGGAATTTTTGCAGCGAGATCTTCACACAACACCTGTCAGACTTATTTTTCGTCGAAGAACTAACATAGGATATTTGGCTATGACTCGGAACTTACCCTCAGTAACTCAGTAAATAGTGGCTGTCTTCCAGATTTATTGACATGCCTCGAGGTATCCTGAGCTTATTACACCCTGACTTCCCAGAGGGCACTTGGTGGCGTTTGCTAAGCCCGAATGAGGAGAACTGGGAGGTTGAGGTATAACCAACAGCTCCTGTCGATTAAAATTCATCGCGTACACCGGAAGCCGAAGGCTATGGTCATCTGCTGGTGGGGATGTTATCTCTAAAGTTGTGAGAAACGCGCTGCCACCATACAATTCCTCGGTCCGAATTTGAGAGCTGAGGCGAACAAGCTTTACAATCTGACATCGCAGTAAGCGACAAAATGTACGCCGAAACCATTGGTTTACAGCTTTGTGGTGTCGACTTGTAGTGATAGATTCTGTGTACATCGTGCATGTAATAGCTGTAGTAGCATAGCATATAGGGTGAGTAGAATCGAGTCATTTTTTGATTGCGAATCAGAGATTATGCTGGGCAATATGGCGCATGATAGTCAACGAAGCGAGAATTTCTGATTGAGGAAAGGCAAAAAAGAAACACAAGATAGTCAGGGAAAATACAACCAGGCTTGACGAGGCTTGGAGGATGCGGCCCCGGATAAATGCTCACCGACTGAAAGATGGATGAATTGCTCAAAAACTGTCAATGTATTTCCCGACACATCGTAAGCTCGAACATCAGCTGGCTTGAGATCAAAGTGCGCTACAAGAAAGTTTTCGGGGCCAGTGGTACACTGGGAAAGAAACCATGAATTGTTGATAGCGAACAGCGACTATGAAGCGAAGATAGGAATCAAACAATATCAACTTACAGTCCATTCTTGTCCTTGTATACTTCGATGACTCCACCTATACTCCCTTCCATCAGAGCCCGTAAATTTCCTCGATAACGACCTGGATGAGAATTCGACCTCATTGGCACAATCTCCCCGACTAATTTCTGAGCTTACCCTCCGAAAATTGACGTCCTCCTGAGATAGCGATTGATGGGTACAGCGACGCTCCCGTTACTTGCATAGCATATGCTCCCCATCGACTGGTCAGGTTTGAAGTCGAGAATGGCGATCGGTCTTTGATGGAAAGGTAATGAGTCGCGATGACGGTTTGCCCGCCGGCCCATGTCATACACCATCGTCGCAGTCCTTTGTGGATCGCGAGCAACACGATAGAATAGTCGGTCGTACATGTCGTCAAAGTCTGATCCATAGAGTTGACCAGTACGGTCTTCAAAAACATAGGGAAGTGGCCCGTTGTACATTGCCGATACGGAACCCAAAAAGTGACCCGTAACGACTAGGCAAGATGATAGCTACGACTGGCAAGACTGAGAGGGAAGGGTGCAAGGTGCACAAAGGCGACTGCTGACAGGCCTTATAAAGAATTTTCGCAGAAAGGGGAGTGCCGGCAAAGGTATTCGGCGCAACAAATATATATATAGCGAAATTTAGCGTTTGTTCTCCCATTATGCTCGTGAAGCACTTTACGAAGGCCCCACATGTATATCAAAGCCGAATCAGGCCCTTCGTGATACTAGCGTAGTTACGGCAACTTGGTTCAAGGACTTGAAGCGCCGAGCAGCCCCCTGCTTTAACTTGCGAGAGCTGTATAATCTCATGATATGGTACCTTGATATCTTGATATGACGTTCTTATGATAACCATAGAGTTCAAGATCTCCATTCGAGTGTTAATCTTCGGGAAAGGGATATGTCATCAGCGATGTCTTCGACACTAGCCAGCCCTAGAGGCTAGCACAGGCCGATCAGAACTTGGAACGACCGCTAGGGTACACAAGACCAGCCTGAATGGAGTATATGTCAGCAAAAATGGTACATTGGGCGATAGAATCTACCATAGTGTAACCTCCATGGCGAGCAAATGATCCAGGTAGCTGTCGCCATTGTAGTCATAACATTCCGTTAGTTTGGTGTTATGAGAATTAGTACAGATCTGGCAAGCGACAGCCTACTTTGTCGCATCTGACCATTTATCAAATCTCGAAAGACTGGTCATTCATACCTATACACGCTACCGTCACCAGTCAGCTGGATGATGAAGTTTTTCAAAACGACTTCGAACATGGCATGAGGAAAGCTTGAAATCAAAGCACAAGCGCGACGCACCGTGTTCTTCGATGCTCTAGAGTTTACAAAGTTAAAATCAGGTACGCGTGACATTGTCTTTGTTGAAAAGAGGGAGATAAACTCCTCTTCTTTGACGCGGCCGAGAGAGTATGAGTAATGATGTTGGGCGGCAAGCTTCAAAGAAACTGGGAAGCTCTTGTCAGGAATCATGTACGGGATTATCTCGTATCTTCAGGTTCAGCATATATGTCCTAGTTGCATCGTTTAGTGGCCACATGTGCATTGTCAAACGATAGATTGCCCGAGCCGCGGCGCACAACCGCATTAAATTCTGCATATGGGAGGGATAGGACCAGGCCACTTATCAAGCAGGCCAAAATTCATGAGCACTGGGCCTAAACTACTTTGGCAACGAAGATATTGTGTATTGGCGCGTTGTGGGAAGGAGAACGAGAAAACGCGATCGCTCGGCCAGGTAACGTGATGGAGCCTGCTTAGTAATCCTAATCCCGAGCGCGTTACGCGTCAGCCTCTGCTATCCTTCAGCTCTTACTCCCTCCTTTCCCTTCCTCTCAAAGATGCCTCTCGAAGCCACGATGATGGTCATTGACAACTCTGAGTACATGCGTAACGGAGACTATCAACCAAACAGATTCGATGCCCAAGCCGACGCCGTTAACGTCGTCTTCCAAACCAAAATTGATTCAAACCCAGAAAATACTGTCGGGATCATGTCGATGGCAGGAAAAGGGTGCGATAATTAACGTCAATCATACATGCATGTAAACTTAATTTGTATACAGACCCGAGGTCCTTGTAACACATTCGAAAGACATCGGTCAGATCCTGAAAGCCATACATACCACTTCATCCAAAGTCGGCGGAGCTATCGATATACCAACTGCTATTGCCGTCGCCCAGCTGGCTCTCAAACATAGAGAGAACAAGAATCTGCGCCAACGTATCATCGTATTCGTCGGCTCACCGCTGGAAGGGCCTGCCGCAGATGAAAAAGGGATGGTGAAGTTGGCCAAGAAGTTGAAGAAGAACAACGTCGCGGTAGACGTTGTGTGCTTTGGAGATGGTATAGAGGAACCGGTGTCCGGGCAAGAGGATAAATTTGTGCTGAAATCCTTCGTGGAAAACGCGAACAGCGCCGATAACTCGTATGTGCTTATTTCCGCTTTAGTTTTTTGATACATCCACTGATTAAAAGGCAG